TGATCTGGACTTTCTAAAGTACTGTTTGCTTGTATGAGCTCCTCGTCATTTGCATATGCGCCACCACTTTTCTGTTCAACTCTGCAACTTCACAACAATTTGAATTTCCGGATTTTGCGTGGAGAGCACCAAGTGACGATCACTAGAACGCGCAGAAAGAATTTTTGCTTGTTTCTTTTTTTAATCTTCTGGCAGATAAATTTTATTCAAAGTGAAAATTGCTAATGATAAATGGGTGAGTTGTTATGCTTGCAGGCAAACCTAGGAAACCTATTGGGAGGGAATAACTAGTTAGTATACTTTTTTAATAATAGCGGCGTCCGAACGTGTATCACTGCTCTATATTTGTGTTATTACGGTCCGTCGTGCCTAGGTTATGGCTGAATTTTTACCTAAACAGTTTGAACGCAATTAACACTTTTCTAGACGATGGTTCGATTTTTTTGGTAGTACGTACTTGGTTTTCCATCTTTTGCGCTTAGCCTAACACAAACTATAAATATGCGCACCCCAAAGAAATTCATTCAAGTGCGTTTTCCTTTGCCTGAAACAATATAATAATGCACCCATTTATCGCCTTCATCAACTTTCACTCCAAAGATGCAATCGTTAGTACCGGAACCTAAAAGAAAAGAAAAGTAGGACTCTTGCCTATATTTCAAATACCGCAGTCGACTGCAATTGCCGAATGACCACTATTCATCTTGATTCAACTTCTAAAAGTTAATGCTCAGGACGTCTAACATGCTGATTCTCTCAGACTTTCAAATGGAAAAGTTTGACTGAGTACTCTGCAAAAAACCAAAACAAGGAATTAACAAAAGCTCCAAAACTTATGTTTCTGAACTCCAGGTTGGGTGTAGTTGTAGGTTGCCATAGTTTTCCAAGTAAAGTACAAGATTTCCTATACCGCTCTGATTGACAATGTGGCATAGCGTATCTCTACAGGAATGAGAATTCTAGAGGAAGCAGCAAAGTATTTGCTATTCCAATTTGAAACTATTGTATCTAAGAGTTCGGTAGCTTTATCATTAATGATGATGCTACTTGTGGGCAGGGCGCAGCTCCTAATTGTTGGAGCGCTTAACGATGCGCCGGTTGTGTAAGAGGGACGCTCACATCCACAATTCATTAACAAAACTTTTTGATCGTCTTTGTACTATAGTTGGACCGAGTCGAATAATTATTTGACCATTCAAATAAAACATTCTCACATTCGAAAGTTCTCGTTTTCGAAATTGGAGATTTTGAATACTTCAAAATTTCGAAGTTCGAAGTCCAAAATTTTCAAATGGTTCGCAAATTTGAATATTCCAAAGTTCCGATTTTCGAATAACTATTTGAATATTAGAAATCTCCAGTTTTCGAAAATCAAAAACACGAATATTTGACGGATAATACTCGAATATTCGAACAAACCCGATACCCGAACATTCGAACGTAGTAATTGATGTACGAAGTAAAATTGCTAATCTTGTTATAAGCATCATTATCAAACGTGTGAAGGCTCCGACACATATAGCAGGGTACCGAATCATTTGCTATAGTCTTTGTAACAAGAGTCTGATTGTGAACAACATTTTAGATGGCAACCAATCTAGAAGACTAGAAGACACAGAGTTGTCCTGAAATAGCCAGAGCTTGCTTATTCTAAGCACCTCTGAGATGACGTATGTCACGCTACAAATTTCACCACAAGAGTGGTAGGTTATAGTGGCATTGGACGCCAAAAGATGATTTGTAAGGAAAAGAAATTTGGAACTAAACTGTATCAAACAGTTCAGACGTGCTCTTTCCAATGATTACCTAAAGAAATTACGCTGCATGGTAAGAATAAAGGAAGCTGGGAGTAGTCTGACCTACAATAGTTATAAAACAATTCCAAGATAGATCGATTCTTTTTCATCCTAACCTCTGACTTGTAAGCTATACAAACAGATAAAGTGCGGCAAGGTGTCCCTAAAACACATTATCAAATTGAGAAATAGCTTTTGTATAAGAAGTATTCGGTTGCAATATTCGATATTCAAGTTGGAAGACATTTCAAATTATTCGACTATTCGAGTATTCGATTTTAAGATCCCTAATGTATACATGAGCTGCGTACTCCACTGCAACAGATTCGGATAGCAATACCTGACAACTATGCGAAAATATGATTTGCATGACGCAAAGCATGTCCAATTGCGAGCAGATAGTACGTTTCGGAGACAGTTTTAAAAAGCTGAAATTCAAAGTTATATACTATTTGCAAATTGTTGAAGGAAACATTCGACTTCAATATCGCGATGTATTGTCGGGAAGTTCTAAGATCATCTAATAACCATGGCAAGCTGACATCGTTTTATTTAGAATATGCCTTTGAAAAAAAATGAGAGTACGTTTTCGAAATATTCAGAAAACCCGTTGATTTTGCTCAGCGGTTTTAAAATGACATTTAAACTGGCTAAACCTTCGACCAACTTCATTTTTCAGCATTTATAAGTCTATTTAATGTAAAAGCTAAACTCATCGAAAATCCACCAACGGAAACAAACTTCTAAGCCCATTTTAAATAGCAGAATCTGCTGCAAGATTTCGCTCTCTTTCACTATAGTGCTCACTGAATTAGCATTGAGGAGAATGAGAAGCCATTCTTTTGATCAGAAAGATACTAGGCGAATAATGTGTGTACACAACGCTCTCAGAACGCCTGTGGTGGAAGTTGAAAACCGTGGCAGTATGAACACTTGCCGGCCCTTTCACTTAAAGACAGTGTTTGGCTAGATTTTCGACTCAAGGTTTGCTTCTCTAGCCCATTACGGTGAGCTGAACACGAATGCGACGTTAATTACTGTGAAATTGTCAAAAAAAAATTTTGGGCCTCTTTAAATTAACGGGGACGAGTGGTAGAGGCGCGATTTTAAATTTCTGACCTTTGATCCTGACGATTGCCTTTCTCGCTGGAGCACTGCTTTTGAGAAAAGCCAAACACGGGCGAAATCGCTGGGTGGGCGTAGTGACTTAAAAAGAGGCCGTGGCTTCCGGGACGATCTTCTCCCTTACCTCTGTTAATTATTTGCCCAAATTTGGAAAATAGCATAACCAAAGAGAAGACTATCATTATCTGATAGTTACTCGAATCACTTTTGCCCGGACATTGCTTTTGAGAGCATGTCATGGTTTGAAAGGAAGCAAATGGTTAGTGTTACATTTGATTATACTATGTACACTTTGATCAAGAGATGATCACTGATCTGTTTTCTTAAACAAGAAATGCACACTTTTTTCTATAGTGACTGTATCAAAAGTGAACATCTACTGAGGTGCTTGGGATATGGTAGGAAAGCTGCAGTGATGTAGCTTATATGGCAGCTATTTTCGAGATATGTTGTAGTTTCACCACGTGTGTGGAATGATTTTTTGCGTCACTGCGCATAGGAAGTTATGTGTCCCGGTTTAAGAGAAAAAGTTTAAGAGTTTCCATTTTATAGACATTTTGGAAAATGCTTGATGAGGAATTTGGCACTCTCCAACTCCCAGTATTTTTCATTGAAAAATTCGCTTGCACTGGTGAACAAACATTCGCTGCTTTAAAGATTCTTTCTAGCAATCCGTCCTCAATGATTTCGTTGTCTGACTTCCAAAGAAATGGAAAATATAATTTGGCAAGACAACAGCAACATCCACGTGCTTTGATGTATTGAAAACGTAAAAACATTTTTTTCAGTAATAGTTTCCTGATGTAAACACATTCATTTCGCTATTTGGGCATCCCATATATGACATACGGAAAGTAGTTATGAACAGCCGTTTCAAAAACCCACATTATCTGATTACCCAAGCAAAACTTTGAGGAGAATAATTTTGGTGTTATCAACTAATACCTATTGGTAACTTAATAATTGGACAAACTTTGCATATTTATTATGTTGAGCTAGTGTATATCCAACATGAAGGCGGTTTGTTTGCCGTATTAAATTTCCTACTGTCATTTCTAGACTTCTGCGTCTCAAGTTTAATTGCAAATTAAAATCCGACATAGTATAGGTAAAATGGCCACCGCTAGAAACCAATTACCTAACTGGAATGAAACATCAGAAAATCTAGATTCTTCCAGCTCAATGTCCT